CTGGTTGAAGTTAGAAGAGCACGACTGGACGCTGGCGGAAAAGAACGGCCAAACACACGCACAGCACTGTGTGTGTTCGCGTGCTCTGCTCTGTCAGTGTCCAGTTGCCCTGTTCAAACATAACATAATAAACCAACCAGACCGCCAATGCATAGTAGGTATATTCCGCATGTGATTGATTGATTGATATGTGGGGTTTAACATCTCAAAACCTCCATATGATTATGAGAGACCGTAGTGGAAGGCTCCGGAAATTTTACCACCTGGGGTTCTTTAACGTGCACCCAAATCTGAGCACACGGGCCTACAACATTTTCGCCTCCATCGGAAATGCAGCTGCCGCAGCCGGGATTCGATCCCACGACCTGCGGGTCAGCAGCCTACCTGCGATCCCACGACCTGCGGGTCAGCAGCAGTACCTTAGCCACTAGACCACCACGGTCCCAATGCGTTTCCTCAGCCGATATTTAGTGATGTGGTGGCGACGTTTGGCAACGGCTACTCGGGGCCCCTACCGGATGCTTGACCTGGCGACAAAAATCTTAGAAAGACATTGACCAGGGAGGCACCACCACGCAAGCCACCACTTGAAAGTACGGCTTTAATGGGGTACGGCAGGGTAAATGGTAAACGTCAGTTTTAGTGCAATATCTTAGAAATGGCTGCAACTATTCCTATAAAATTTTACGCACTTACAAACAATGCCACCGGGTTTCGAGTAACACCCTTATGCATGCCTAGGTTGCTTATCCTTCCTATGGCCCACTCCCAAATTTTAAAGGGGGTTCACAAATTCAATGTACCTTTTTTCTGGAACTACCGGAAAGAAGTTTCAAGTGACACCCTTTTGCATGCCTAGGTTGCTTATCCTTCCTATGGCCCACTCCCAAATTTTAAAGGGGGGTTCACAAATTCAATGTACCTTTTTTCTGCAACTACCGAAAAGAACGTAACCACATTCAGCCGTGTTGTTGGAGAGACTCGTAGGTTACATCTGAACCAAAAAAACTATTACATTTTTCATGATGCTTTCGTAACAAAAAAAATACTACTTACACAACACCATGAAGGGGTGCATATTGTGCAATTTTTTGACAGCTTCATTTTTATGAAAGCAGCACTTTTTTTAGTTCAGATTATTTCTAACTTGTTCTAGTTCACGCATACAAAGTTCATTGACAATTATTTCAATACTTTTTCAGAAAAGGTACATTGACGTTGCGAAATTTACAGAAAATGCAATTCGAATTTACAGAAAATGCTTAACAAGAGGGCGCGCGGCACACTTCGGAGCGGTATTTAAACCACTTGAAGCGGCCGCTTGACATCGGGCTTCCACAGATTTTTTCCTCGGAGTACAGTGGATTCTCTGGTGTCAAAATCGCAAATTCAATTTTTTGGGAAATTTGCCCTACCATACCCCCTTAAACGTAACTCACCCTCGAATTTCATCAAGTGCAATCAGGTGAATTCGAGGACTGTAGTTTTGGGGCCATTTTTGGAGACGTCCGATTTGACAAATTTGTTGCCGTGGAGAACAATGTTGATACATGTGGTTCGAATAAAAAAATTGTGCAGATGGTTCGGCTAGTGGACAACATCAGAATGAACCGCCATAGAAGACTACAGATGCTGCAGGGGGTCTTCCTCTTGCACTACAATTTTTATGTTTTGGTGAAGACGACAATGCTGAAGAAGCACTTCAACATGTTTAGTGTTAGGAAAACTTGCTAGGCACAACCAGGTTTGGCAAGAGAACATCGCAAACTATATTATTAGAGAACTGTCACGTTTGAAGAAATAAAAGTGCAGTTTTTTGTGCATTTTGCTTAATTGGAAGTTCATTCAATTCAAGGATTTTGCAGTTCCTGTGAACTTCGTATTAACGGGAGTCGACTGTATTGTCCCTCGCCCTTCTGATGGCCGGATTAACTTTTTCGTTACCACGCAAAAATGGCCATTTTTCGTACGTCTGGGAAAGATCGTTTTTGCCAGTTTGAAAAGAACGCCAGCACACATTGCAGCATACAAAACTTTGTACAATGATATGCTCTTTGCAATAAATATATGTTGTAGAGCAACAAAAATATTTTAGATAAAAAAAAATTAGAAGTGTGGAATTTTCAGCTGCCAGCTGGTAAACAGTAGAATAAAAAACTACATAAGCAAAAATAGTTAAAACAAAAAATTCAGATGTACGTATATTTTCTGGATAAATGACCCGGGAACAGTATAAAATAATGAATGTTATACAAAATTTTTCTCTTCACGTAGACTAACAAAATCTGAACCGAGGTGCTGCTTCGTTGCTCGTGCCATGCGGTGAAGCACTGCATGGTTTTTGGCGAGACACAAGTGTACTCTTACTTTTCTCAGCACATATTTGTTATCTTGCAATGAAGAGTCCAGGTGTTTCAATATATAGATGAATACCCGTGATGTGAATAACCTCTCTATAAATGAAATGTCTAATGAACTTTGCTATTTCACCTAGCGTCACCTCTTTTCATGAGCCATCTCGCTCCGCATAGGTTGGCATTCCAGTATATGCATCCAAGCACATTTCTTTGCATTTTTGCACATATGGTTTAAAAAAAAAAGGCCAATATCGCCAGCAGTGCTGAAACGTATCGCACTCCTCCATAGTCAGAGTCAAGATTTGCTCCGGGGACCTTGCTGTTAGGAGAAGCTCTGCAGCCAGCACCAGCACACTGCGCCCCAGCAAAGTGCGGACCACGCATGTAACCAGGATAGCTATAAGATTGCGCACAAAGGTCAGAAGCTATACGCACTTGCGGCGGAGACAACTTGAGGATGTAAACAAAACAAACCCTCGAACGACTAAGGATCTCTTAGGATGGCACAAAACATCGTCGCCATAAAACTTGAAGCTGAGGTGTTGTCATCCTCGAACTCTACACTCATTCAGGTAGGGTTGCAAGACAGTTTTGAACAGCACATGTGTTTTTGGTGTGAACCCATGCGTGCGTGACGTCATAGGAGTGACAAGTGACACTAGATGCAACCCTGTGCCCGATATAAAAATGAAAGCAAAACCAAAGCAACTAGAAACTGTAGTGCGACGGACTTTCACAAATATTTTTTGTAGAACAAATTTTCCCCGACTCCGAGGAACAGCTTTCTATTGAATATCTGGAATAAATTTCTGGCAATTATGACTACTTAACATAGTCAAATTGTAAAGCTGACACTAATTCGATATTAGGCTTGCAAAGGTGTGTGATTGAGAAAAAGTTATTGATGCAAAAGCCGCGTACCGCCTTTTGAAAGCCCCCGCGAAATACAGGCGCTCCTACATATTTGTGATGAAACCCACATTATTCCCAGATATCGGCCATGAAGTCCCTAGCCCTTTAGCCGTGCTTCTGGTACTGCCTTTCAGCGCGCAGCCGCACTGGCACTAGCCTGAGGCCTCGCCGCCTTGTGCCTTGTTCATTGCACGTTTGGCATGAAAGGGTGACTGCTCGCATTTGCTTTAGGCCCTGCGCCATGCTTCCAACTGGGCTACGAAAATTAGGTGCCTGCTTTTAAACACTGCCACCATTTGCTTGTGCACAGTTGCAACGATGCCACATCGGCAGAGCCACACAGGTGACTTCAAGTGCCAAATGATACTTATTGCCGAGGACTCAAGCAATTGTGCCGCACAGCGCGAGTTCTGTGTAAACGAGAAGTTGATTAGGGGTTGCCGAAAGCAACGGGGCAGTCTCTTTGCATGCAACCATGCCATGCTTTTCGCAGCCCAGCAATTGGCAGCGATGGCAGCGAGAACGACGTCGTTTGGAAAGCCGTGGATGCTTGCGAAGAATCTGATGACAACATTTTGCACATCTGACAAGATGACAGCCCCTGCAGCAACTAAGGCGCTAAGTTATGTAAATAAAGGTGTGCTACGGTTCAATTTTCTGTTTCTAAATTAAAAACAAAAACATGGGCTGACCTATATTCAATTTTTTCCTCATAGAACATTATATGTAGGGGTCGACCGTGCCAGATCCAATTTTAAGTAGATACGGTAGGTATATGGAAAGGGTGGCTCGGTGGCATTCGTCAGCAGATATGGAAAGAGTCCGAGAGACTGAAGAGACAAAGAATCGAGGCTTCATCATAGTCGAACAAAACGAAGAGGAGGCAGCGAGTGAGCCAAGGAGACTGAAGATTTGAGCTGAACATCTCAATAAGCTTACCATACAGAGAACAAAGCTGAACAATAGGGTTAATTGTACCTCTTGCTATGCACACCCAAGGCATAATTGAGTTAAGCAATAGCCACTGTCTTTCATGCCTACACCTGCCTGGCGCCAACACAACTTCTGTCAAAGATGCTTGTTCAACTCAAGTTTCAGACATCAGGTGCAACACTATGAAAGCTAGCGAGACTTTCTGTAGATGCCCTTGCACGAAGAAATAGTTCAATGATTTTACTACCCATAATGCATTTTTTTCCCCGTTTTTCGACTGAATAATAAATGTAGATCCTTTGTGCCTGAAGAATAAACCCCTATATTTATACGGTTGTCAATAGGTTGTTCAGGATTAGTTCTGGATGCAATTAATTCTGGCAGCGCACAGCTGGAGCCCCTTGTGGAGGGCAAGTTTACAACAAGGAAGACCAAGCCCGAGCCGCGCGGAGTTATGCTTTTTGCTGACAAAACTTCCTGCATAGCTTTTACACTTGCTCCTGATGTATAAAACTGATTATAGTCTCTATGGTTTCCTATGTTGAAATCGTGGCTGACTGTGTAAATGCCTGCACCAGTGACGATGTTTAAGAGGACATGAAGGAAAGGACAGTCGTTTTCCAAGATACTTGAAGACATTTGTCCATGGGCCACACGGTCAGCATTGTGCCTACTGTGCCACAGGTATTGCAGACTACACAGCTAACGATCATCTTTAAAAGCTAAAGCCCAGTACTATCGAAAGCACAAGCAGGGTGACACACAGCCCGGTCAAATGCAAAAATTTTGTGCACTTACCTTCCCAGTTGTCTGCGAGTAAAGACAGAAGTAGGTGCGAAGTTCATCCTCACTAGCTGCTCCTGGTTTATCAATTTTGTTGCCCAAAATCAACACTGGGCAGTTTGCCAACTGCTCGTCAGTTAGCAGGCTCTGCACAACATATGAAAAATGAAAAAAAGGTGCTTGAATCACCACCAGCAACAAAAAGTTAATTAAATGACACGCGTTCGGCTCTGAATTACTTTTCAAGCTAGCTGCAAAGCAGAGTATGGGATTGCGGCAAGGACTTACAGAGTCATATTTCGGCAAACAAGAGCAGCACAAGTGATGACTGAATAAACCAGGCAGAAGTACTAATAAAATTTAATGAAACCATGAACGGAACATACTCAATTGGCAGTATGCGCATAGGTGCAAATCCCTAGTAAAGGGAGTGCATGCAGAGTCTAGTAAATAGAGCTTTATAGAGATTGCTTCGAGATTGTTTTTTTCCATTCAATTTATCTGACATGCAACTTCAGTGCCGGTTCCACTCACTACATTAATTTCATAATGCTGACAACTATGAGTGCACACAACACAAAAAAAAGTGATACAAAAATGGAAAAACTAATTTTCTTATTTTACCGATGTGATGCTCTGTGAATGACACACTGCAAGAACCTAGGAGCAACAAATGTGCAGTGCTACCTTCACACTAAACAAACCCATACAATATGTAATTATAATGACTTCATGCTATCTGGCATTTCGCTTAGCAGTTGTATCTAATGAAACCATACCACTCCACCTCCACAGTTCAGCAGTCTTAGTAAATAGGCAATGTGTAACCAGCACACAATCCTTGCCATTTAATTACATGCCATTCATATCCACACCAAGCATAGGTTTTTCATGCATGCTGAAGGTAGCACCTACAGGAATGAATAAGTTGAATTACGTGCAGAGTTTTATAAAGGCAGTGCTGACAGCTACTTTGCAATGCATGGGCACAGAATTAGTCTTTTGTGCAGATAATTTCAAAACGACAGAGACGTGTTTTACATATATACCGCATGATGATCAAATACTCCGATTTTTTTTTTGTGCCTTTTTGAAAATCACTTTTTTTATACTGAACCACAAAAAAAAAAAAACTAGAATCGACAGAGGTTTTATAGCATTCCATTACAAACGTACGCATTAAAAACCATTGCCTTTTATGTCAGACCTGACCAGAACAGCGATGCAGAAATATTCATACTTCAAATCTGCACAGAAGACTACAGGAACACTGCGATGTAAGAGGCAGATCCAGGATATATTCAACAAAAAGTTACCACAGTACAGCCTAACCTCATTACAACAAACCTCCATAGTGAAGATTTTGGTCTGTTGTAAAAGGAGTATATAAAATCCAAGTAGTTACAACACACTTATGGAAACACTCATTGGGTCTGTTATAACCGGAGAGAGCTCTACGAGTCATGAATGTATTTTCAATGGGGTATAAAAAATTTATTCTTTGAATAACTACAGTCTGTAGTACTTTTTCTATCCGATTTGAAAATATTTTCACTCAAAACTACGTGAGGGGTGGAAGCGGGCTTCAGTATTTTGAAGCAGCTTTGGGAGCAGGAATAATGGGGTTTTGGAGCAGCTTTGGAACGACCCACAGCGCATCGTTCTCGATTTTTCGGACTAACTGGCTGATCAGTTGTGGCGCATACTCTATAACATGCTATCAGTGATGTTTACATTACGTTTGCTTGGTTTCAAGCGCTGAAATCTTGCTGAAATTGCCGATCTCGAAGGCTATATTTAATGATATGTCCTTTTGGCTTTAGCCAGTCACGTGGTCATTCAATGCCCATTGCAGCCATGCCAAGTAGGGAGACATTGTCAGTGGCTTCTGCAGCTAGGCCCGATAAGTATCTTGCTCTCTTGAGTTTCTTTGACGAGCGAGCTGCTAAAATGGCTCAGGCGCCACCCGTTTGTGCGCCGTCATGACTACAGAAGAAATGCGGCCAATGCAGTGGCTACAAAATGCTCACGATGGCGAAGAAAGCAGAGATAATTCACTAGGGTGAAGGCCACCAACCTCAGTCGCCGACGATGACCAGGGTGCCTACCAATTTGATTTTTCCTAATTTCCCGACTTTACCAGGTTTTTCATGATAAATAAAGGCGAATTCCATGACCATCACAACTGCTTCGAATAAACCCTCGTGTGGCAAGAAGAAAATATCAGAAGTTCAAAATAAAATAGCATATTCACCGCACTCGTTCAGAATGTTCCAAGAACGTGCAGTTATTATAAAAAAATGGGCATTTCTGGCCAATATAAAACCTCCAACCCAGGCAGTGAGCAAGTTGGCTGTTTGATCTTCAGAAGAACCAGGAAGCAAACACACAAGTTAAAATTAACCACAGCTGCAAGTTTGAAGGAACCCGCAATAGTTAACAATGCAGCCAAAAGCTACTAAGAAACGTAGAAGTGGTGCCATCTCACGGCATTCGTGTAAAAGGAGGACGCAAAATCCTGGCTAGTTTTGCCCATGGGATACATTTCAGTTCAGTATAATGGCCCAGGCCACTTAGGATGCAGATTAGATTAGATCCGATACAACCTACTATTGATTTGTGTCCTACCTAATTTGCATACTTCTAAAATACACTTTTCATCAAAAAAAAAAAAAAAGAATAATGACTACCTCCATGTATTTTGTGTACCTTGTTTTGGCGATGATTAACCACAACATTACAAAAACAAAGCTGGAACAAAATTTTGTTTTTTTCTTTTTTGAAATAAAGAGTTTGAAGAGAGTTCTCCAACGAAAGTAGCACAACGACTCAAAAGTGCTACGACACTACACTCACGTGCACAAAATTAATAAAAGCCACGAGGTGCCTTTCTGCCGGCACCGATTGAACTGTCCTGCGCGCTGAACGTTCATCCAAAAGGGGTATTATACGACCTGCAGTCGTTGTCGAGGAGGGACAGAAGAGTGGCTCCTTTCGTCACTATTTGAGCCTTGGCGAGAGGGATGATGTCATCGGGAAAATCAGGGGCAAGCACAAATTCACGAAAGCAACAATGATAGCGTTTCTTCCCCTACTTAAAAGTCTGCTCACCATCTCATAGGAACTTCACACACGAGATGGCTGCGAAGTTTTACGAAAGTTCCGCCAACTCTGGTTGGACTCTTGTCAACTAATGGTCTTGCATGCGCCCGCATTGCCTTTGACATAGAAATTGAAAAAAAAAAAGATTATAAAGCACCTGCGTTATCAGGCAGGGTACAGCCATTCACTTCAGGTGTCCTTAAGCTTTTCTTGACGTTTCGGCTCCCGTACGGGGGCCTTGTTCCCAAATGAATGAAAAATTGGGGGTGGACTATATATATGCAAATAGAAGGTGCCAATAGCGTGCGTAAACAGAAGGGAGTGTGCAGTCATTGCAACTTAGCATAGTATCAGTGGTTTGTATGAGTAATAACTCAAGATGAAGTCGCCAGGTTAGATTTTTTCAGTGATTAGATTTTTCAGAACATGCACATTTTCCCAGTCAATATCGTCCCTTTTACACACAATGCTCAGTGAGTGCACTTGAAGACACTCTTTTTTAATGCTTTAACATTGTGTAACGTCCTTTTTTTTTAACACTACGAGCACATGCATGTCTATGTGTTATTTCTCAGGACTCTTGACACTTCAAGAGCGACGAAACTTCTCAGATGCCTGTAATGAAGGCTGGGGGGGGGGGGGGGGGGGGGGGTCGCTTTTAAAGCTCTGACGTTTCAATACGTGGCGGCAAGAAGGAATCTGTCAGTCAAACAACAGCTTCTTTCATTCTATAAATGAATCGCGGACGCTGGCATGTTACCTTTGCTTACGTACTCCTCTATGGACAGACGATAAGATATAATCATAGAATTAATGGCATCTCAAGGAACTGAAATGAGAAATTTAGCTGAAGTTACCCAATGTCGCCCTTAAAATGCGCGCTACCCGCGATAAGTGTGTAGCTGAGGTTGTTTGCTATAGCATCGCCAATACCATACCTGCCAAGCTCAAGAATTCTGAATCCGGGAGACTTACAACACAGAGGGGGGGGAGTCAAATGTATCGCCCCCCTTAGCAACTTTTTTTTTTTTCCCATAAAAAGAAATTGCCGAAAGGGTGGAAGTCCCGAACAGGCCCATAAGCGTAAAAGTTTGCCTTGCAGTCTTATTATGGCTTTTAAACTCGGGCAGAGTGTCCAAATAACAGTAGGATCTCAGTGAAACGTTCTAGTCTCAAGGATCTCAAAAATATTCTTATCACCCGAAGCATAGTAAATTACAAAAAACTAGCAAAACAGCTTTTCAAACTGTGACATGAACGCCAAAATTTTTTTCAGTCAAGAGAACTCGCGTACGTTTTTGTGAAACGGACAAACTTTTGTTCTGTTTTTATTCCACGTGTGCTGGCAGTGCATGTGCCTTCAAAACGCAAGTTGCTAGTTGATATCTACAATTGCTTTTGTCGCGACTTTGTCGGCAGAGCTTGCAGAAAGTGTCGCTTTAACGGGGTGAGCATTCGAGGCGCATGCACTATTCGGAGTTTTGTCAGTTTCACAAGTGTTGAAAATTGGGCGAGTTGGTTCGTAATACTTGAACTGGTATAGCGGATTACGGTAAAGAAGAAATGACCGAGCAGACCGACACTAGAGGACAGAGCGTTCTGTCCTCTTGTTTCGGTTTGTTCGGCCATTTCTTTATCGTAATGCTATATACCAGTTCAAATTGTCAATTCCGTCGTCGCCATACAGGCTCGTGTCAAGAGTGACCATGGTTTTGTGGGCCACGTGTGCTCTTCCGAAGCTTCCAGCACGTTACTCCCGGCCATTGCTCGACGGTTTGGTCCAAACATTCAAATGTCGGCCTACTGGACACAGTGGAAGTTGACTGCAGAATTACACAAATTATAGTTTATGTTTACATAAACACTTCCTAATGAGATAGTGCCAACAGTTTTGGAAAAAGCCTGGATCAGACTGGGTTTAGTTTGTCAGTTTGGCCAGATCATGCACAGAAGTTTCGATTTCCGAAAGATTTTTCCGACAACCGTAATAACAGACCTGCCAAGTACTGGAACACAGAATTGGGAAGACCCTGCCCGGGGGGGGG